AAAGGATGTGAGGTCTCCAGTGCAAGCAGTGAAGAGCTGGCAGGTGTTGGAAGAGTCATCAGTCAGAAGGAGCTGCTGTCTGTCTTGTGTTCACTCTACAAGCTCATGGCAGTGTGGTTTAGACCAAGTGACCTCCTCCTGTGCCATTCAGCACTGCTCTGCAGACCATGTTTGTTCAGCACAGGAGCCAAGAAAGCTGCTCGCCACTGTAGTTGGGAACATTTCCCATGCCTTACACAGGGTGATTGCCATAAGGAAATACTATTCATCTTCCAGCATCAAGGAATGCTGTATTCCCACAAAAACATACTTAACCCTTTTTCCTCAGTTACAGCAGCATCCTAAATTAATTCTCAAGTAATGGTAAAAGCCATACCAGCTTAGTTGGGCAACCATTTATATACCTTAGAGTCACAGTCTGCACCTTGCTGGCATTGGGAGCTGGTTGGGCTTGTCAAGAGCATCATTCCCTGCTGCCTCCAGATACAGGGTTTAATGGGCTCCATCCAGATAAGGCATCTACAGCTATTGTTATCAGCAACTTGAACATAAGACAGTGACTAACTGAGATTTAGTTGCTTCTCAGGAACTTTTGGAAGTGAGTTTCTAAGCCTGCTGCAAGATGCTTCATTGGTTGCTCTTTGACAAAATGATTTATTGCTTCTAGGTTTGGTGTTCTTGACATTTCCTTCAGTTCACTCTTTGTCAGAGGTGTTGGTCAGACTTGGAAGAGAAGCATTTTGCACTGTGGATGGTTGGTAATGGAATACTTACAGCATGGGTACAGCAGTGTCTTCTTTCCCTTCAGCTGGTAGTGGCAGCTTCTGTTCCCAGAAATTTTCAATGACATAGCTGTCCTCAGAGCTGGTATTGCCCTCAGGGCAAAGAGGGGTAGTTGCAGTGTATTGGGTTGAGCTGGAGAGGCAGTTCAATCATCTTTTCTTGTTCCCATCATTTTTGCAACTGGTGAGGGCTGGAGAGGACATCCTCTGTTTCCTTGCTGCCTGTTCATGGTCTGGCAGCTGCTTGCTTACTGCAGACTGTGTTGGGTATTTTGTGTGCCACAGCTTGTTAGCTTACAGCTGACACTGTTCATATTTCTGTCCTTTACTGAGCTGTCCTGCCCAGTAGTCCAGGCTTTCCTGAAAGCCAGGAATTAGCTAATTCCACCTCCTCTTGGCCATGGTGGGCTGAAGTGTGTGTGTGCAGCACTTTCCCTTCCTCTCCAATGAGCTGTCCTTCATTGGGCTAATAAATATCAGCTTCAAAGGCCTTTGAAATGTGTATTCAAGGGCTGGTGTTGGCCTGTATGTTTGCTTTCCCCTCTTTCTGTGTCTTCCTGCTTTACCATCACTCAGTAGACGTATTTGGTAACACAGTCATTGGCCTGTATTTATTGCCTGGCTTCTGTGTTTTCATAATCCCTTAATTGTGGTGTGTTGTGCCACACAATTGAATTTGGTTTGAATTTTTAGTTGTTTGGGTTCTTTAAATCTATTAATCAAGCCTCTCTGACAAAGAGGCCTGTGAGAGCTTTTGGCATAGTTGGGAAATACTGCAACTGTGCAAGAGAATTCTTACTCTTGCTTTTTTTAGTGCTTGGCTTCGAGACTGTAGTCTCCTTGCTCTAATGTGAATTCCAGAAGACAAAGGATTTATGTTTCCTTTTTTAAAGTTTCTTGAAGCATATGCACCTTTTGAAGATTTTTATAAAAGTCCACCATACATTTTGAGAGAAATAACTAATCTGGGGGCTCACACATATTATTGCTTCTGTATGCCCTGGGAGCTCTGGGTTGGGCTGGCCACCTGCCAAGAACCCTTACTTGCTGGACAGTCTTCATATTGGCCTGGTTTCCAGCAGAAACAGTATTCAAATCAACACATTCCTGTAGAATGTTTTAGATTTCAGCAAAGCAACATTTTCCTATGGAAAGCCTTTCCTCAGAAAAATCCCTGAAGTCAAGAAGCTTCCCATGCCTGGGGCCCAGTGGCACAACAAAGTTTCCTGCTGATTGTGTCTTCAGAGAAAGAATGGTTCATTGCTTGCCTTGAGTGGAAATCAAGTCCCATTTGCCATTAAAAATTGCTGGCACATCCATGGGAATGGTGGGCTTTGATCAGAGGTGTCTCCCAATTCTTCAGGGGTTAAACACCATCCTCCATCAGTTCTCTCAGATACAGGTTCAGCAGGCTGAATACTGAAGTGAATACTTCATTTGCTCCCTGTGGTGGTGCACAGATGCCACAGTGCCAATGACTGTGCTTTGGAGGGAGGTGGATTGTGCACTGGATGCCTCTGGACTTGTACCCCTGGATCATCCTGGGTATCTTGTTGGCTTCAAACAATAGTATTTTCTGAAAATCAAACCTGTGGTCCTTGGCAGGTAGCTGCTGATATTTCACATGTTGTCTGAATTGTTCTTTCAAGATGTTTGCTTGAAATCTCAGCTTACTATGGTTAATCAAGGTCCATCTTCCACCCATTTCTGAAAGTGCCCTGTGCTCATCTGCTTCTCAGAGTTAGGCCAGTCCAAACATGTCCAAAACAAAAATGTATTAGGCCCCAAGTTTCTTCATAGTGAGATAAGAGTTCAGACTACTTACTGCTTTTCTTCCAAGGGATATTACTTTAGTCAGTGTGTTTAGTTGGTAAATTTGGGGAAAAACCCTTCCACCAATAATGCTAATGGAATAAATATTAATTTTATACCAGGTATTGATTACAAAAGAAAATCATAGACCCAGATTTTGCAGTTTTATTTTGCCTAAATGCAGAATATGCTGTTACTTCTGTAGGAGAATTGGCCATTCTTCTCTTGTAGCTTACAGGCTACACTGAAGAAACAACTTGTTTGAAAAAATACCTGAGACGAACCAAGTTATTTGGGTTTTTATTGATGGTCTTTAGAAGAATGAACTTCTTCAAATGGTTTCTTAATCTGGAACAGAGAGAAAGCAGCTTTTGCACACTTTAAAGTGATAGTTCAAGTCTATCATTTGTCAACTTGAAATATGTCTTAATTTTTAATACCCTCTGAGACTTCACATACAAAAGTTTGGCAACAAAAAAAAATTTACCCAATGCAGTTCAGACATAGGTAAACTTCTACAAAGCCATGCAAACACAAAAGTTTGTTGTTTCAAAAGGCTTGATAGTTGCTGCAGTACATTATGTACATGCTTTAACTCTTTAGCTTCCTTCCCTGGGAAGACTCGGTTGATTTTCTCAGCTCATGTGGGTTTGTGCTGAATCAGATGGTTTTTATGAGAACACTGGGCCTTTTTTCAAATTGGAAAAAAAAAATCACTATGGCTTTGTTTCTTTAGTGGAGATATTTTGTCTATTCAAATATATACATTTTTCCCGCTCCTTTCTTTAACCCTCTTCCAACCCACTTACGACAGCCTGGGAGTGAATTTCTTTTGCAGTATCATTTCAGAATTTCACTCTTTTTTTTTTCTCTTGGGCTTTTGAAAGGCATATAGTTGCCATACTGTGATTTCTGATTGGTAAATCTTTACAGTATCAGAACAATGCTGTGGCTTTCTATTTGTAGCCTGATGGGTCCTGTTGCAGAGTTTATGCAGGACTCTGATACACCATAACATATGTGACAGGAGTGAATCCTACAGGAGTGTGAATGCCCTCAACAGCTCTTGACCTTCCTATGAGTTGAGGAGCTACACTGAAGAGCGGGCGCTTATTACAAGGAAGGCAAACAATTGGTTGCTTAAGCACTATGAAGTGAGCGTGTGTTCAGACAAGTGTGTGCCCCGTGCTCTCCAGCACTTAAAATGTAGACCTACTTAACTTCTTTTTGGTCATTTTGTTTTCTTTCTCTCTCTCAGTTACCCCTTTTGTTAAGGAGTATTGAAGGTTTTTATTACTCATGTAATTGGTTTGGATATATATGCAGTCCTTATTTTAACACAGTGAATTTTTTATATATTAGCACAAGACTATCTGCAGAATAGTTGTGCTTATATTCATAGAGCAGTGTTAAATACAATTTCCATTGTATGGACAATATATACAGAAGCTCTATGACTGCACTTTTGATAGCTGAAATTTTTCAGTCTACTTTACCAGACTTCTTAAAATAGTTTTTCACTGCTGTGTCTGCTTATATTTCAGCCATTGAGTACATCACTCTTAAAAGAGGTGTCTTAGGAACACAGAAGTGTGTATCCCCAGACTGCGAGTATTTGTCTATGGTGCAAAGTAACTTACACCACTGAGGATGATTTTATGGTCTTTGCAAGGATTTATCCATGAGTTGTCTCAGAAGCAGAAGAGGGGCCTGGCCCTGTGTGAGTTCAGGGCAGGGCCTTGGTTCAGGCAGGCAGTGCCACCTGCCAGGCACCCGATGGCCCCTGTGGCCACTGCCCTGGCAGGGTCTCCCAGGAGGCACTGTGGTCACCAAGCACAGGGCAAAGGCTGAGATTTGTCACTGGTGCTGGGGATGATGTGTCGAGCTGTTCCTGCTGCAGTGAGGGGCTGTGCCTGCGGGGGCTCGGTGGGTGAGGCACGGGAGCTGCCCGGTGCCCGGCCATGGCTGTCCTGGGCAGACAAATAGCTGGGGCAGCATGTTGTCACAGCTGAGTGAAACATTTGAATTGTTGGCAGGTATCTCTGGAGAAGGGCATGTATTTTTCTGTACTGAGAATTCAGTAAATAATTTTGACATTGATTTGAGGTTTTCTATTATTCATTCAAAATTGCTTTTTTCTCTTTTCCTCCAAGAGGTTGTGGGTGTGTGCTCTGCTGAGGAGATTTTTCCTCGTGAAGAAAATGTCAATCTTGAATCAAATTAACCTATTTTTAACATGAAATATTAGACCCTCTCTTGAAGGCAAAAGTATCATGATGTTAGCTTTAAGAACAAAACAGAATAGTATGTTTTATATATTTTTATACTACATGCAAATAGTAACTTATAATTGCAACTTCTAATGCAAATGTGGTTTTCTTTACACTTGTTTCTTATTCCCTTTAGCACATCAGGTCCACCCATTTGGACAGGAAGCACCTTTTTCAAGAGAAATGGAGCCCTTCTACAAGGTAGGTGATAGATACTGCATCTTGGAGTAACTGTTCTACTTGAGAAATAACTTCTGCAAATTGCGCAGCTTTTTTGATACTCACCTGGCAAGAAATAACCAAATTTTTTTTGTCTCCTTTACCCTTTCTCCTTTATTGCGCATCTGGTGCCTTGAAAATGACGGTTTACCACGTACAGTGAGTGTAGTCTGTGAAAGTTGCTGCTTTTTTTCTTTCCTCAGATCATTAAATTGCTTGCTGTAATATATGGTGAAGGGTGGCTTTTTGGTTTTTTCCCTTTGTGTGGATAAAGAGTGCCCAGAAGGAAATGTTCCAGAAACATCACTTTTAGCTCTGTGGATGAAACAAGGTTGTTTTTGAGAGAGATTCTTTTTTATACTCCTTAATTGTGCTGATAGCAAAAGGTACCAGAAGGTAGGTAGCCATGATGTAATGGGGAAAACAGTGTCAGAGTGTTTGTCTCAAGAAAGCTACTATGGTTAATAGTGCTTATATTCACAGAACAGTGTTAAATACAATTTCCATTGTATGGACAATATATACAGAAGCTCTATGACTGCACTTTTGATAGCTGAAATTTTTCAGTCTACTTTACCAGACTTCTTAAAGTAGTTTTTCACTGCTGTGTCTGCTTATATTTCTGTCATTGAGTACATCACTCTTAAAAGAGGGGCCTTAGGAACACAGAAGTGTGTATCCCCAGACTGCAAGTGTTTGTCTATGGTGCAAAGTAACTTACACCACTGAGGATCATTTTATGGTCTTTGCACGGATTTATCCACGAGTTGTCTCAGTTTCCTTTTCATTCTCCTGGTGCCAAGACTTTTCTGGTCTTTCTTCTGACAGAAGATGCTATATAATGTTCTCCGGAGCATTTATCCAAATCACCTACGATGGAGCTTTACTCACAATGAGACACAGAAGCAAATAATTCATTGTCAGGCAATATTACCTTTTACAGACCAAAGGAATCCAGCATCTGAGGTTTACCTGAAGATATTTTTCAAGTTAATTCCTTGCACATATCTAAGAATTGGCATAACTCTATTTACTATCTATGCTGAGATTTGTTCAAGTGAATTTTAAATATATTAAAACATTGAGATTATTTCTTACCACTAGGAGATGGTATAAATTCTAGAGTTTATCTGCTTTTGGCTTTAGTCTGATCAGATAGCTCTGCTACATTTAGAGTCCTTCCTAATGAGAATAACTAGTTTGTTTTGGTTTTTTTTTTTTTTTTGGTAAGGAAAAAGAGCTATTGTGAAATAGCTTGATTTGTTTAACTTTTTCAATAATTCCGATTTTAAATGGGTATCTGCACATACGTAGTCTTGGTAATCTGAGTTGATAAAATATAAACTTGCTCTGTCGAGTCTGTACAGCAGAAATGTTTTACCTTTTCTTAAGATGCAAGATACCAGGAATTAATAACAGCTGGTTTTGTAGTCCTCCCCATCTCAGTTGTTGCTTAAAGCCTTCTCACAACAAAGAAGAATACACTGTTCTCTATCCTTTTCTCCTCTGCCCTCTTCTGCCTTCCATATTGGGGTGGAAAATCTAAAAGCCCAAAACTTTTAAAGAAATAGAGAAAAGAGATGACTGCCTTTTCAAGCAACTGGCAAAACCTAACAGACCTTTAACTGAATTGGCATTCTGTGTTGCCATTTCAAGTGGAAAATCCAGCCAAGTTGCACTGTAATATGCATGATACAACTGAGGTTGGAAGGATGAGAGAGTATGAAGAAAAACCTCATTGAAGTAATCTTTTAACACTTCCTGGTTATAATTTTAAAGCAAGAAGATAAATCAATGAAGCCTTCCTTTCTGTCTTTTTTCTGTCTTTGGATTTTTCCCTGCAATAGGCTCTTTACTATGTAGGCTTTAGCAGGTTGCACAGAAATAGTGCATCCACCTCTTCGCTGCTTCTCTGAGCACCTTTTTCCAGAAGACCCGTGCAAGAAAAGGTGGCAGTGCAGGGAGATGTGAAATGAGGTGTAGGTATTTGTCATGATGCCTTGAGAGGCTCCCTGGAACAGAGGCTAGACAGTGTTAAAGGAATAAAGTAGATATTTGTTGAAAGGCCTTCAAAGGATACACCTTGGGCAGTACAAGAGCCTGGCCATGGCTCCACCCAAGATGGATGATGCATCATCACAAGTTTTCACACTTTGATAAGTTTTGGTCCATTTAATACTGGGGTTAATTGTCTAACTACGGCTTCAGGTTATGAAGTCCCATCTTCCCAGGTTGCTCTACTCAATTCACCATTGTTTATACTTTTTGGACCTGCAATGGTATCCTTGGTTCTTGGGCTGGAAAAGGATTGTTTTGTCTAACTGAACTGTGAGAACTTGCTAACACTTCATATGAAATTCAGAGTTATATAATACAAATGCAATACAAAATCTGGAAAATATGAAAGCTGAAACTTTAGGCATCAGTCAGTACCTATGTTACATGACCATCTGAAATATTTTTCCAGTGCTTATAGTCAGCTTAATGCAATCAGGAGAGTGAAAATTGACTCAATTATTGGTTTTAAGTTGTAGTCCTGCCTTTGGATTGGCAAAAATTGAGGTAACAAAGGGATTTTAAACTATTTTTACTTGGTAATTGTTCTACTGTGTTTGAAAAGAATGTTCACTGTGTTATAGACAATAATACAGAATACTTCTGTAATTATAGTAAATGTGATATTCATGTGTACTTGTCACACCTCATTTCTTCTGAGTTCTTAAGAAAAATGTTCTTTTTCTGGTCTGAGGAATGAAGAGAAAAAATTCCACAATGTAAGTAGTGCTTTCTTTAGCCAAGAAGACTTGTAGATGCTTCTGGTTTCCATTCATTTTATATCAGAACTATTTGGCAAAATAATCGTAACCATTGTAAAGAGTTTAACATATTTCTTCTGCTAAAGTAGCTCAGAGAACAGTTATCTGTGTACCTCAAAATAGCAAAGGAAGAGAAAGGGAAGCTAAAATTCGTTTTAGCTATTCTCTGTCCTTAATATTTTTGACGTGAGCGGGAGTAATTATCTGTTACTTTCTGGCTTTGTATTTTTTTAAGAATTTTGAAATATATTTACGCCGTTCTCTTTTTGTGTATGTTTTTATTAGATACGAGATGGCTGCCATAGGTTTTTGGGGTTGTTTGTTTGTTTGTTTGGGTTTTTGGGTTTTTTGTTTTGTTTTGGGTTTTTTTTTGTTGTTGTTGTTTTTGGTTTTGTTTTTTTTTTTTTTTTTTTTTTTTTTGTTGGTTGGTTGGTTTTTGGGGTTTTTTTGTGAGGATCATGGTTCTGTTGTTCTTGGCATTAACTCTAACCAGTTCCTCTGTATTGAGTCAGTCACCTGCCTAGGTACTTCTTGTAGTCTTGAACTCCTTCTGCTGGGTGATGGTTGATCCCTATAGCCTTGTGCTACTTGGTCTTCTTGAGAAGAGTCCCATGCAGAGCTTAATTTAGGTAGGACCTTCAGTCCTACCAGACTCTAATGTCTTCTCTCAAAACTTACCTGTGTGTCCATGGAAATTGCTGTATTCTAGCTTTCGGGATTCCCATATAAAACAGGTCTTTGCTCTTGCTGATTTTCTTTTTCTGTTGTTTTGTTTGTAACTTGTTACTGTACATATTGTGTGTTTGTTTCAAATCATAGATTTTTTTTTTTAATCTGCTGTATGGAGGGCCTTTGTTCCCACTGTCTTTTTTTGTTCTGATCTGTCATAACACATTCATTTTTATGTAATAAAATATATGTGAGGAAAGAGTCCTTGTGGTGGAAAATAACTAGACACAGTCTAAACTCTTAAGGAACTTATACTGTGGAAGATATGTGGGGCCATAGTCACATTAACTTCAAGATCTTAAAACTAATATATGGTGTCCTGAAAAGGGAGGTTTTGTTGCCTCTGCTCTGATCTTGGGTGTGAAGCTCGCATTACAGACTGAGCATGCAGTTGCTCACAGATCAGCGGTAATAATAAAACATTTTTGCTGTTAGTATGTCTGATATTCTTCTTGAATGAACTAAAAATACATCTTCAAATTACCTTTTAGCAGCAGTCATATAAATTCCAGTGGCTGTGTGCCACCTATAAGATGTAACTGGACTGTGGAGGGGTTTGGTTTATTTTCTTAAAGATGTAACTTATCTTTCGAGGGAAAAAAACCCAAAACAACAAAATTACTACTGTTTTTTAATCTTAGTTGCCCTCACACTTTAATAAATTAAATGCTGCATATTACAGTGCCTTTTTGTATCAAATTTGTTCTGTCTTGATTTGTCTTCGTTGTCTGGGGAGGGAAAGTAAACCTGGGTCATCCAGTCCCTATTGCTGTTGAAAAAAAAAAATGAGATGGGTCTCCTCCCTGAGACTTGATGGTCCACCTTTCAGTGCCTGACCTATTGTAAGTAGAGCCATGATCCTTGCCAAGTTGTCTGTGTTCACTTCCTCTTCTGACAGCACAATTTAAATCTGCTGCCTGCGGATGTTACATCAAAGATAGGAACTTTTTCCTCAAAGATCCTGCCAACCTGGATTCACACCTGCAAACTGGATTGCAGCAGTCAGTGAACTAAATTCAGACAGCATGGCTTTCCTTGGAAGCCATAATTCTCTTTTAATGAGGATGAAAAGAAAGACTGGAAAAATCCATCCCCTTGAGAATGCAGAACGGGAGCAATGAGGAGTTGCATGTGGCCTCTAGTCCATCTTGGCTGAGGGAGCCTGAGAAAGGAGGGGTTACCCTTTCTCTACCAGCAGCTGCAGAGAATAGGCATCCTCATGCTCCAGAGCAGAGCAAGGGATAAGATGTTTACCTGGGGATGACTTGCCCTCTTCTCCTATCTGCCTTGGTCCTGCTGCCATGGCTGTGGCTGGCACCACCTGTGAGAAGCTTTGATGGGAAAGAATTGGAAGACACTGTCTTCACAGGGTCAGGTGTCACCAAAACCAGTGTGAGATAGAGACTCCATGGTTTGTTGCAGAGTAGAAATGGAAAC